GGCTTCTCAGGCTGTTAACAGGGAGCTGAGCGGGAAGTGGAGCAGCTGGGACATGAACTGGCAGCCATATGGAATGCTAGTGCTTGCAGGCTGAGGATTAGCCAGTTGAACCAAAGCACCAACCACTGATATTTAAATTAAACATTCTTCTAGTGGGTTTAAGTTACCTGTCCCTGATCGTCTTGAACTGCTATAGCAGATATGTGAGGCTAGGTAATTTATAATGAACAGAAATGTATGTTTTCAAAGTTCTGCGGGCTGGGAAGTCCAGCATCAAGATGCTAGATTGTGGAGATCTTCTTTCACTGTCATCACATAGTGGAAGGTGCAGGGCCCAAGGCAGAGAGAGAGGGGGGCAGATATGCCTCTCACTCCCACTTGTGAGGGTGAAGACTCAGGAGGCCTAATCAACTTCTCAGGGACCCCCTTGGTACTGCTGCAGTGGCAGCGAACAGGAGTGTTTGAAGGGACAGGCATTCAAGCCTGAGTAGTTCCTTCTGGCTTTGATGTGCATTTTATTGCTGACTAATGGTGTTGGCCATCTTTTCATGTGTTTGTTAGGCACTGATGTATCATCTTTGGAGAAATGTCAATTCAGATCCTGTGGCCTTTTAGAAAATGGAGCCAGGAGCAAAGGCTGTCAAGGCTCCCATCAAGGCCCCGGTTCTCTGTGTGACAGGCTTTATCCCAGGAGCGCGTGCTGGCAGAACTTAGCCTCAGCAGCAGGTAGCTGGGGACAGGATAAAAAAGCTGACTTCCTGTCCCTCCAGGTAACAACTGGGAGCTGAGGAGAGCTGTGTTCTTGGCTGTTCCAGAGCAGGAAACAAGGTGATTCAGAACACCTCAAGGACTGGTTGGAAGAACTGCTGTAGAATCCCCAAAACTGGATCCACTTTTCCAACCACACAACAGACAATCACTGACACTAGGGGTAGTGGGGAAAAAAAAGCAAAACATTTATTTGAAAGCACAGAGCAAGGAGCCAGGCAGCTAAATTGCCAGGCTGCCAGAAGGGTTAGTGGTAAATTGAAGTTGTAATCTGTTACAGGGTGCAGCCAGTGACTGCTCCTTCACCTCTCGTATACTCTCCCTACCACATCCTAATTCAGCTGGGATGTTGGATGCAGATGAGTCCAATTAGTCTTTTTAGCTACAAGCCCAGTTCCTGTTCCTGCCCATCCCAATGAGTGCCAATTAACTCCTTAACTCACAACACTTAGGTATTCACTCCTGCCCACCTGTGACTCATCTATCAACTGAGAGGGGATGGTATTGCATTGTTGTGTAACCACTCCCCTCACAAGCCCCTTTAAAAGGCGGGTGAAGTGGGGGCTCGCTCTCTTTCTGGTCAGGTGTTCCTGTTACTCTGGCACCTTGACTCTTGGCTGATCCAGGACAGGTAATCCCCTGAGCATGGTCCCTGTATACTGCTTTGATTGGACTTGTGATCTGTTATTTTAGTATGTTCTGTTAGCATGGTCCCTGTTCACTGCTTAGATGGGACAATGGATATATTAACATTGTTTCTGGTTTGTGTACTATCAGGAGTTTCAGGAGAGGTGAGGCCTAGCAGTGGTGGAATGTGGGCAGAGAAGCCAAGGAAAGGTGAATGAATGTCTGCAGCTTTGTAAGTGTGTCCAGGTTATTTGCTGCATGTCTCTTAATTTATATTGTTGGGGAAGCTGGGACATAGGTCTTCAGCTTAACGGATGGACTTAAGGGTAATGACCATTTGTTCCCCTTTGGATTATGTTTGGTTGGATTGCCATATGGACTTGTGATCTGCTATTTCTAGTATGTTCTATTATCATCAAGCTTGGTTAATAAAGACTCCTTAATAAAACCTTAGACATGTCTGGTATAATCTCGCTTGCACCCCGTAAGCAAGTGGTGGGTGGTGCTCTTGGCCTGTGCTGGATTGGTCAGCAAGGCTGTGTTATCTAGGGAATATTGATGGAGGCAAAGTGGGCTACATGCTGGTGGTAGTTACTTTTTTGCCCCCAGCCTGGAGTTCCTAGAAAGGAAACCCTAGAGACAGACATCATTTATAAAGGGAAATATATAATCTCAAGGGTCCCGTGATTAGGGACCAGCTGTACCACTCCCTCAGTGCAGGGAGTTAATTTTAGTAAGTGAATGACGTGCATTCATAAAAGCAGGGCAAGGAAACTTTCAGCTAAGGGCGGGAGGCTGGGAGACTGGGACCTTGTGGGATCTAGCGCTGCATCTGAGGCCCCAGATATGGACTCGGTTTCACAGGCAGGGAGCAGGCCTTAGTTCAAAGACTCGACTCTTTTTTTTTTTTTTTTTTGAAGGCAGAGTGAAGATCCTTCCCATCCCTCCCATCTGATGGTTTACTCTGTAAATGCTTGCAACAGCACGGGCTGGGATCCTGAACTCCATTTTGATGTCTCACCTGGGTGGCGGGAATGCAACTACCTGAAGCAAGAACACGTGCTGCCCTAGCCGGGTGTGCATTAGCAGGAAGCTGGGATCTCCAGCAGGTGGGTTATCCCAGGCACACAGGCATTCCATGCAGCACTGAACCACTGTGCCAAATGCCTGCTCCAGTTGTTCACCTGGATAAATGTTTCTTCATAGCTTTGTACTCTTAGGACCGTTTCCAGAGATTCCTCTGTGTGTGTGTGTGTGTGTGTGTGTGTGTGTGTGTGTGTTACAGAGAAAGGATCATTTTCAGTTAATACTGTTGTGCCACTATAGATTCCTTTTTTTTTTTTTTTTATAACTTCAAATCCGTGAGATTTTGGACAGTGGAAAACCAGAAAAACCAAACTTTTCTAATAAATCTTGCTTTAAAACTAAAAAAAATTCATTCTATGTATATTGATTATATGTCAACTATGAAGATAGCTCAGAACTAAAAATAGAGTGGGCTGGTGGTAACTACAGCAGGGAATTCTGCCTAGCTAGACATACCGCAGCCTGGTGAACCTTAGGACGATCTGCTATATGTAAGGAAGTAAGAAGTTCAAAATCGATTTTGGAAACCAGGTGATTTTCACAAAAACATAAGAAATCAAAGCGGCCTATAATAAATGCCCAGAGAATAAATGCTCCAGTTTTTCAGGGGCACAAGAACTTTGCAGCACTGGCGTGCTGAGGGTGGGGAATGGGGGAGGGTAGGTGCAGGGTTCTGTGCATGGAGGGAGGGCTTAGTGGGGTTGGAGGCTGGGCAGGAGTGTGTTCCAAGGAAGAGGTGCAGAAATAGGAGTGCACTTAGTGGATAATAATGAGGGGACCTGCTGGCTGCATGAATGAGGTGGTTGTGATTAAAAAAAAAAAAAAAAACTCAGGGATGCTTGGTTGTGGGACCATAGCCTTGGGACTGTATTTTAGGTAAGTGAAGTGGGCAAAAGAGGGTTTTGCAGTATGCCATTTCCTGCAGTGTGTAATAGGAAGGAGATGCATGGGCTGGGGTAGGGGGCAGGGAGGAGGTCGGGAGAAGGGAGCCTAGAAGTAGAGACCAGTCATTAGGTAAAATCCAAAAACACTACCCTATCCTTTGTTCAAGTCCAAGGGGTCGGAATGGAAGGGAAGTACCTGATGGAGGGGAAGGGACATTAATGCCAAATGATTCTTAAACATAGTATTTGTTCTGTAAATCAATTAATCAATACAATGTTAGAATGCAAGGTAAGATGGCTGATCTAGTGATTTCAGACATTATGTATTAACAATGGACTCGGTGCAGTAACTCCTTTGGAACCCACAGTTTTTCTTCCCTTATATTCTTTCAAATTCCTCCTCTCCACACTCCCTGGCTTTTCATGCATTTTTTAAATTTTAAATTTGTATTTTTTTAAAAGGCAACTATTTTAAAAAAAGATTTATTTTTATTGCAAAGTCATAGAGAGAGGAGAGAGAAATAGATAGATCTTCTGTCCAATGATTCACTCCTCAAGCCACTGCAATGGCCAGAGCTGAGTCAATCCAAAGCCATGAGCCCAGAGACTTCTGAGTCTGCCATGGTACAGGATCCCAGAGCCTTGGGCCATCCTCAATTGCTTTCCCAGGCCACAAGCAGGGAGCTGGATGGGAAGGGTGGCTGCCAGGATTAGAACCTGTGCCCTTGGGATCCCAGCACGTTGAAGGCGAGGACTTCAGCCACTAGGCTACCACGCAAGGCCTCGTTCATTTTTTAAAAGAAAAGATTTATTTTTATTGGAAAGTCAGATTTACATGGAGAAAGATTTTCCACTCTCTGGTTCACTCCCCAATTGGCCGCAGTGGCCAGTGCTGAGCCGATCAAGAGCCAGGAGCTTTTTCCCGGACTCCCACATGGGTGCAGGGTCCCCAGGTTTTGGGCCACCCTCCGCTGCTTTCCCAGGCCACAAGCAGAGAGCTGGATGGGAAGCGGAGCAGCCAGGACAGGAACTGGCAGGGGGAGGATTAGCCAATTGAGCCATAACACCTGACCCTCCTGTAATTTCAAAATTCATCTCTGAATGGGTTTACCGGAGGAAAGCCAAGGAGGCTAGGCAAAGGTTGAGTTCCCTCCTTCGCTAATTGCCTTCCGCGGAGGCACGTGGCCAACTCGTGCGCTTTAGCGGGTGTAACGTGACCTTCAGAACTCCTTAGGACTTAGCGGTGCTGCATCTCCTTAGAGACCGGCGCACTGGCTCGCTCCCCGAGAGGGGTGTGAGTGAGTAAATGACTGATAGGGCGGAAAGCTATGTCCCCAACCCCACGTTTTGCTGGGGAAGGCAGGCTCTGGGTTTTGCTCTTTTAAAATTCCAGGGCGGCTGGCACGCACGCCTCCGCTCCGCGACTAGGTCTTTCCCACTCCCCGCACACTGCACCAGCTTCCCACCCCAAGTCCTGATTCATGAACCGTGCCACCTTTGTCTCATTTTAAACTGTGCAGACTATTTTAATCCTCCCAGCCCCATCCTAGATCTCCCCGCCCCCGCCCTTCCTTCCTCTTCGGGCAAGCTCTGATGTAAAGCGCTCACTAGGAAGCAGAGAGCTCGTCCTGGTCGGCTAGGAGTAGAGGAGAAGCAGAGAAGCCCCCTCCCCGAGTCCCGGCAGCCGGCCCCTTTAAGGTGCCGCGCTCTCCGAAGTGCGGGCGGGGAGCCCGGGAGCCGGCGCGGGGCCAGGCAGCCGGGTGGGAAGTCCTGCCGTCCTCCTCCCCCCACTGCGCCCGCAGCCCGGCTGGCGGGGCCCGTGCGCCCTCCGTCCTACGCGCACGGGCGGACCATGCGGTGGCTCTGAGCCATGTCCTCCTCCTCCTACGCCAAGAACGGGCCGGCGGACGGGCCGCCCTCCCCCGCCTCGCAGGTACCGCCTCCTCGCCGCCCAGGAGCGCCCCGCCTTCGCGCCAGACTGGCGCCCCCCAACCTCCAGTCCCGGGAGTCGGTGGCCCGGCTCCCCCTCCCTCCTCCGCGTCTCTTTCCCCTCCCGCTCCTCCTCCTTCGACTCCTCCTCCTCCTCCTCAACGTAGTCCAGGTCTCTGCGCTCCGGCTCCGGAGCCCGTAGCCTCCCCCAGCCGATGCCGGGGACTCGGACCCCGCACCCTCAGAGTCTTTGTTGATGGATGTGGTGGGTGCTCGCGGGTTGTTCTTCCCGGAAATCTTTTCAGCTGTCCGGGCTTGGAGTGGGTGGGGGCGGGGGCTGTATTCGGGAGCTCCGGGAGATAGATTTAGGGACTTGGGTGCGAGCTCCGGGTAGCGGCGGGGAAGGAGGGTCCCGTGGTTCCACGTTGCGGCGCTCACCGGCTTCTCTCTGGCCCCCCGCGTGTGGAATCCAGGTGGCCCGAGGCACCACGACCCGGAGGAGCAGGTTGAAAAGATCCGATGGCAGCACCACTTCGACTAGCTTCATCCTCAGACAGGTAGGCAGCGGGTCCGTGCCACTGGGCAAGCGGTGCGGAGGGTCCTGGGACCCAGAGCAGGTCCCCAGGTGCGGGAGCTGCGGGGCCGGTACCCGCACCCCGAGCGCGCTGCTTCGGGGTTCCAAAGTCTCCCAGATACTGGCGTCCTTGGTCCCGCGTGCGCCTGTTCGGGCTGCGTCCTCCCCCACCCCATTTTCTGTCAGTACTCCTGCAGCCCCGAAGTCCTGGGGTCCAGGTGTCTCCTCACTACCTCGGGAGATGTGTGTGAGTGGATATGGGTCAGCAGGGACCGGGATGTTGGGCTGGGATACTGAACTGAGGAGCTGGGAATAGTGCACTTTCTGGGCGGGATGGGGGTAGGGGAGGACGGCCTTCGCGCTTGGAATAGAGGCACCTGCGGGTGCAGGGGGTCTGGGGTGGGCCGGGTGAAGGGGTTGGGTCTTTCGGTTTTGTGCTGTGTTTAAAGATCTTCGAGCTTCAGTCAGAGGAAAGCAGCTTGGAGCTGGAAGTTTGGTCTCAACTTTGGGACCGCTGCGTGAATTTTCGCTTAATTAGGGAAAAGCGGTTGGACCTGGTTAAATCAAATTAAGCGAAGGCCACCCATGGGCTCCCCTAGTCTGGGCTATTTGTGCTTGATGTTTATTTTCTTGGTGCTTTCTTCTTCCCTGCGGCATGGTTGCCGGGGCCAGCTGTTTGTAACCGGCATGGCGGGCAAGCTGGGACTTCTGTGGTGCCTGTCACCTTGATCCAGCAAACTGGTGCTGAGTTTTCTTGCTGTAGCTAGAAGCCCCTCTAGCGCCTGGTGAAGAGATCTTGGAAAGCCGCGGTGTGTGTGCATGTGCATTTGGGGTGACCTGGCAAGTCGCAGGTTCTGCCCTGGGTTGCTGGGGTGACCTTGAGTGGTTTCCTTCCCTGCAGGTCACTCGGATCCTTGTGGGTTTAACTTGGGACTGCAGGTGTGGTGTGTTTCTCTAGTGATGGTTATCACCTGAAACAGCTTGTCCAAGGAATGGGTGTTCAACTCAGGGGATCGGACTCGGATTTCTCGGGGGTCCAAAAAGCATGTGCAGAATTCCTCCTTGGAATTCTGGACCCGGAGTTATTACTGCTGCTTGATTCAGTGAGCACGCAGCGTGTCTGCTCTTAGGAGAAAGAAATGTTGGACTCTGGGTTCATTCTCAAAATAGGCTCCAGCCCATTGGCAAGGCTTAGGTTGTGTATTTAAAAACACAGAGACATTGTTCATATTTTAAACATTTCTGAGTTACGCTGTCGGAGGTCTTGCTTGTGCAGGTGCCTATTTTTGGTAGTACTTTTTAGTAGTACTTATTTGTTGTAAATTCTTGGAAATTCTAATTACATAGCAGTTTCTAATTCTAATTACATAGCAGTTTGTTCCATGAACTGCTGAACTAAAACTTTTGAGTTAATCTGCACCATCCCTGCTGTATGTTTCCACACACACACAAAACAGTGTTCTGCCCTCGGTTTATGCTGTGATTCAAATAATAGAAGTTTTTGTAAATCGTGCTGCTGTGTGCTGGCTTGGAAGTGTAACTATTAATACATACTAACTAATTTTGGGTGTAAGTTGATTTTTAAAATATGTTTTATAAAATATTCTGAAACAGGGATTCATTGGTTTGATAAAATGATCCAATTTAAATTCAGGAATTAATTGTAACATATACACAATTTCGTTTTTTGACACAAAGTACCGAATGTTTGTAAGCATTTTTCTTACATTGGAAAGGCAGATATACAGTTTAACCACTTTGTAAGCATTTTTCTTACACATGATCCTGTATAAACGACATCATATAGATTGCTACAATGGCAGGAGATGAAAAATGAAAATTTCAGATGGAATTTCTGTGTCTTAGGAATAAAAATGACCAGTTACTACCTACATGCCAAGCAAAGCAGCACCCCATTTGTTTGTGTTAATAGAAGCTCATTGTTTGTAGGATGAATGGCCAGTGACTTTCTGGTTTTTGAAGTCTTGGGATGTCGCAGTGGTGGAATTCCTTGGTAATATTTCTCCGTCGTGCAGGGCTACTTCGCACAAGCAGAATGCAGCAGGGATACATATGGAAGCAACGTTTCCTGGAAGAAAAACATTCAGTAAAGAAAGGCATGTGTGCTGTTAGATGGGGGATGCTTGACCCAGGGGTGAAGGGCCAAGGGCAGTTGGCAGACTTCTTCAATGAAATACCCTCTGTCTTTTGAGCTGATAAAGAAAACCAAAAAAGGGTTAGTGTTGGTTTGTGTCCAGGCACACATTCGCATTGGCCCCAAAATAAGCAGCCTGAGTGAGAAACGGGAGCCTGTCTCCACTCTGAGTGCTGTTCACAGACAGCTCTGACCTTGTTTCCTGGTTGGCTAGATCACTGGCCTCCACAGTGTGGCAAGGATGGAGGTTTTGGAATGAATCCAGGGAGCCACTAAGTGGCTTCAGGGAGGAAAGGTGAGAAGATTAATATATTGTTACTGAAAAGGGAAAGAGAGAGCAAGGGGTGACCCAGAAATGTTCTTGGTGCTCAGAGGCAGACCTTGGACATTCTGCAAAGCTCCTGCTCTTGACTGAGGTGGCAATTCCGGGATTGGCTGGTGGTAGAAAGGAATGATGCTTTTAAGAAAGGCTTTCCTCAAAGCGTGGCTACCCTTGGACTGGCTTTGCAGGTGAGGTCATAGAAAATTCTCCCAGGAGATCCCCGGGAGAGAGGCAGTAACCTAAGTATATGAATGCATCCTATGTTCCTGCTTTTAAGCTTTTCGGGAACACCGGTGTTTACTAGGTGTCCAGCACTGTACTGGTTTATTTGTGTGTTTGTGTTGGGGTGGGAAAGAAGAGAGAGAGGCAGATGAACGAGATGCAACCCCTGTACTCAGATGTTACAGTCTAGTTATGGGGACAGAGGGCTATGAAAATTATATAGTGAAGAGTAGCTAGACCTGTGCCCTGAGTGTTCAGATAGCCGTGGGTATGTCGTTGCACTTAGAATGCGTAAGGCAGAATATTCCAGATTAGTCCTCTTCTACTGAGGTTTGAAGAGAAAGCCTGATCCAGGTGGAGTGGGCATGAGGATTTCTTGCCAAGTTTCTGTTGGGAGGACTGGAGTATGACAAGGCCTGCGGAGCCCTGGTGGAGGGCTCTTACTCTCCCCTCTGTCTAATTAACCTTTAATCATTGTTAAGATCCAAAAGCTCAATCTTCACCTCTTTCTCTGACCTTGCCGATAAGGTCAGTTCCTCAGCGAGGGGCCCAGAGTGCCTGGTGCCGCTTTTCATGGCACTCCTGCAGTGTTATAATTGAACACGTACTTGGATTTTTTTCTGTTATGTTTGTCTCCCCATCCAGATCATGAATGTCATGAGGCAGGGACATGTCTGCATTTGATCTTCTCTCAGTTTGAGTGACACCTATTTACTTGAGTGAAGGAAGGAGGGGATGGCTAGAAGACTAATGGGATATATTTTCGGAATGATGTGCTTCAGAATGACATGCTTCATGCCGTGGAGAGAAGTCACCTCATAGTAAACTTCTGTCCTGGAATTGGTAGCTTAGAACAACAGTGTGTATTTCTGTGGGCTGAGCAAGCTGTCTCTCAGTTTCAGGGGATCTTCTTCTGGGCATCCAGTGTAATGGCCAGAAGGTGCAGGATAGGCTCGCACATGTGGTTAACAGGTAGAGCTGGCTGCTCATTGAGAACTCAGCCGCAGCACTTGACAGAAGGCTCGGTTTTCCTCCTCCTGGGCTGCTCAGCACAGTTGCTTGAGCTTCCTGATAATAGGGTGGCTGCCTTCCAGGAAGGAGCACCCCAGCCAGGAGAGGCTGAGCTGCAGCTGTACTAATCCCCAGGCTGTGAAGCTGTGCCACATCACTTTCCTTGCAGTCTCTGAATCCCAACAGGCCCAGTGTCTTGCCCAGTTTCAAGGTGGGGAGAAAACAGATGCTTTTTGGATGGAATGTGAAAGATCGCATTATGAAAGAACATGTGACAAGCAAAATTATCAGTCAAACTCAATGTTTGATTTAAAGATTATCCAGTTCATATAATAAATTAAAGTGTTATTTCAGTAAACACAAATACTTGATACATTTGATTTTCAGAAAGATTTATTTAGTATTTATTTGAAAGGCAGGTGAGAGGGAGGGAGAGAGAGACTCATTTGCTGATTCAAGTGATTTCAAATGGCTGGAACAGCTAGGTTTAGACCAAATGAAAGCCAGAACTCCACCTTGGTCTCCCATATGGTCCTCTCCAGTGAGTGACAGGGGCCGTAAGAACTTGGTCTGTCCTCTGTTACCTTCCTAGGCACAGTAGTAGGGAGCTGGATCAAAAGTATAACAGCCGGGGCTCCAAGTGGCATTCTGCTTTGGGATGCAGGCCTCACAAGTGTAGCTTCACCCGCTGTGACACAGCACTGGCCCCTTCATAAATTGTAAATATTCTGTACATTAAGAAGAAATGGAGAGGTTGCCACTGTATTGCCAGTTAAGCTGTTGCCTGTGATGCTGGCATTCTATGTGGGTACTGGTTCAAGTCCTGGCTGTTCAGTTTCTGCTCCACCTTCCTGCTAATGTGCTTGGGTAAGCAGTCATGATGGCCCCAAGTGGGCCCCTGGCTTCTACATGTGGAGACCCAGTGAAGTCTAGGATCCTTATTTCAGCCTGGCCCAGTCCCATCCATTGTGGCCATTTAGTGAATAAACCAGTGGATGGAAGATCTGTTTCTCTCTGTAACTCTGTCTTTCAAGTCAATCAAAAAAAAGTCTATTTAGAAAAAGGAAGAAAAAGGAGCTCCCTGGTCCAATCAAATGACTTGCTAAGGCCTCATTACAGAAATCATATTGAACATAGAAACTAGAAGTGGCAGGTACTCAGTGATCGATAAATTGTTAAGTAATGGTTTACATACAGCACCGTTTCTCCATGAAAGGAAAAAATGAAGTAGACCTGCATGCATTGATATGGGAATGTTTAAGACATTAGCCCA